GGCTAATTTGGATATTGATCAAGTTGCAGCAACGTTTTTTCGCAGAATATTAGGAGTTCCTAACTCAATTCGGCTTTCTACTATGTCTTTAGAATTGGGCATTCACCTACCTTCCACAACTGCCTGGTTACTTACATTTAAATTTTGGCTCCGTCTTTTTTTAAATTCACATGCTGGATCCCTGATATACGATTTATTGTGCGATTCCTACTCCTTTTCTTGGTTCCAGCTTATTGAAAAGAAACTCTCTTCTCTTCACATATCCTTGGAATCCTTGGTAGATATGAATCTCACTAGGGCTTATTCCATAATCAAGGACAAGCTCTGTCATGCTGAATTCAATCACCTATGCAATAACATTAACCCTGTATGTTGCCCTCTTTCTGTTGGATATTTTCCATCTCAGGATCACTCTCCCAAATATTACCACTCCCTAGTAAATCCACATCTAAGAAGAGCTTTTATGTTAGCCCGTTTTAACATTTTTCCTTCAGCCACTCATGCCAGTCGATTTCTCAATATCCCTCGTGAAAAAAGACTTTGTTTTATTTTTGCTTAGAGACGCCTGACACCCTGGTTCATATACTGTTTCAATGCCCTGCTCATTCCCACCTCCGAAATTTTTTTCTTGAACCTTGGATCTCTTATTTTTCCAATTCTTCTGTGTCAATTCTTTCTATTTTCATGAGCGATGAATGCAATGCCCTGACCGCTGCTGTTGCAGGTTTCTTATCTGCATTTTTGAAATTGTCCCCTGTTTCTCGCTCCTAATTTGTGAAATCTGTGTAATTTTACTTTTCCTATTTTGCTTGTCTTGTTGTAACTTGTAAATGCCATTAAAGGTTTCAGAGCACCTAGGTTCAAATCCCTCCACAGCCAGCAAAACATTTGCATATCTTTAAAACTGCTAGCACAGCTGTGAATCAGAAGTAACTTGATGCCACACAACCATAGTATATGTGTTGGGGAGAAAAAAGTCTGATGAGAAGAATGATAGATTAAATAGTACCTGCTAAGCCTTGAGTATTTCTAACAAGGAAGCTGCACGTTCTTTTATTTCCACCTTATCTGTGGTATTCTCTCTGTCAGTTGTTAAATTAACAGGGCCAAGACATGCATATTGATTATAATGTTTATTTTTATGTACATATGTTTCACTTTTTAGCACATGCGTACAACACACACACACACAGAGAAAGTATAAATCAAACTATAGCCAGTTTTCTCATTCTTACGAGGCAAAACACAAGATGTTGTGGTTGAACTGTTTGCCTTGTGTCCTTCTAAGCATTTCCTCTTAGCACCTATCCAGCACAAGTAACTAGAAGGAGAATTTGCTAGCAGATGTCAGGAAACATTAGCTGTTCCTTTTAATTCCCTGACTTCTACTTCCTTCCTCCACTTATGTTAGACTATTATTTCTTAGGAAAGCTTACCAGTCTTCAGTCTTGATCTGACTTTTGTCTCATTCTCACCTTTGTAAGGAGCAGACATGCTGTCTCTCTCCTCTGTGTGAGCCCCTTCAGAGTGCATGTCCTTATGCTTAGGATTAGGAATTAGGGTTTTCTATCTTAAATATAACTTTCTCAACAAAACTTTGGTCACTTGATTTTTACTGTCTTTCCTGTGGGTCCAGTGTGGGTGTGACCATCCACTTATCTACCACAGCACCTGCTTCCACTACAGAGAAAGAAAACATAATAATTTTCTTCTGTCACACGTCCTGAACACTCACAACTAGAATAAGGTTTAGGTTAGCTATATAATGAGAATTCACTTCTGTATGTTGCACTCCTCCTCTCCTTTAAAGTATTGCTTGGTAGCTATAACTGCTTAAACCTGTGTACACATTCTGGGTAAGGACTGCTATAGGAATGACACAATCACGTTTCAGTTTGGTAGGTGATCTCTGAGATTGTTTTCAGAGAGGAGCTGTGTTAGTTTATTATAGCATGTGACAAAAGTATTGTGGCACATACAAGACAAATTTGTTAAATCAATGCAAGTGTGAGCATACAACCACTTTCTCCATGATTTTAAGGGTACCACAATACTTCTCAGGTTTCTTTTGATTATCTTTGCAGATTTATCTACATCTGTGTTAGTTAGTAGGTTTTAAAAAAACTTAATACACTTACCCTGAATGCGGTACCTTCTTCTATTATGGTAGGCAACTGAGAAAGGCATATATCCACAGCAAGGTCCCAAGCCTGCCTGTTGAAAAAAAAATCAGAACATGGGAACATATGTCTTACAGAATTGATTGTACAAAATGACATCTGACAGTAGAGTAACTCACTTCATTTGCTATAGTACATACTGTGCCCCCCCCAAAAAAAATAAAACAGGGTTTTATATATATTTTTTGCTCAAAAAATGCATTAGGGCTTATTTTCAGGGGATTTTTTTTCATGTACAACAATCTAAATTTATTCAAATGCAGTCATATCATCTTCTGGTTGCTGCACAATGGCGGAGGATGGGGTTTCACTTGACTGAGGCTTATTTTGGTATGAGCATCCTAAAAATCACACTAGGGCTTATTTTCAGGTTAGGTCTTATTTTCGGGGAAACAGGTTGGCTTTACAGAAGTAAAAGAGAATGCCCACAACAAGCTTTAGTTTAGTACTGAGTATTTAGTAATATTCAGCTGAATTTGATTTCAATCAAATCAATTTAAATCACTGCAGGATGGATGAAAATCAATTAAAAACATTAAAAATAGAATTTAAAAAAAAAGAATTACAGTTTTTATCCACTCTGCTGTTGTCTTTCCATTGGCAAGCAAAGATCCTTTTATTGAAGCAGAGTTTTAGCAACTGTTCTCACTTCCTGAAGAGGAGTTTTCAACTTGATATGCACTGCATTTTCTTTTTATAGATGCATTTTTAATTTTTATGTCTAATGTTGTATGTTTTAATTATATTTGTACAGTTTAACTGTACACAGGGACGTGGTGGTGTGTGTTTAGTCGTTTAGTCGTGTCCGACTCTTCGTGACCCCATGGACCAGAGCACGCCAGGCCCTCCTGTCTTCTACTGCCTCCCGGAGTTGTGTCAGGTTCATGTTGGTTGCTTCGCAGACACTGTCCAGCCATCTCATCCTCGGTCGTCCCCTTCTCCTCTTGCCATCACACCTTCCTAACATCAAGGTTTTTTCCAAGGACTCTTTTCTTCTCATGAGATGGCCAAAGTACTGGAGCCTCAGCTTCAGGATCGGTCCTTCCAGTGAGCACTAAGGGTTGATTTCCTTTAGAATTGATAGGTTTGTTCTCCTTGCAGTCCAGGCGATTCTCAAGAGCCTCCTCCAGCACCACAATTCAAAGGCATCAATTCTTCGGCGGTCTGCTTTCTTTATGGTCCAGCTCTCACTTCCATACATCACAACAGGAAAAACCATAGCTTTGACTATTCGGACTTTTGTTGGCAAGGTGATGTCTCTGCTTTTCAAGATGCTGTCAAGATTTGTCATCGCTTTCCTCCCAAGAAGAAGGCGCCTTTTAATTTCAGGGCTGCTGTCTCCATCTGAAGTAATCATGGAGCCCAGGAAGATAAAATTTGACACTGCCTCCATATCTTCCCCTTCATGACAGAAGTGTGAAATATAATATAATATAGTATAATATAATATTATATAACATAACATAATATAATATACTGTAATAGTAGTTCTTAAGATTACTAACAACTCCATGCTAGTAAAACAAATTTTATGCAAGGCAAATGAAAAGGATTCACCAGGTGCTGAAAAGCTAAAAAGATCAGAGCTTAACCAACCTGGGAGATCATATGTCCATATGTCTCACCTGAGACAGTAAGGCATCACTGAAGATGCTTTCAAGGTCCAGAGAGGTTTGTGGGGAAGCAAACAGTTCCTGAGATGCTAAACAAATAGGAACTTCCCCCTGAACTGATGGAACTTGATGTATTCTTTTTAAAAATGCACAACTGATGCTCTGAAAGATTTACAGAATATAAGCACTGCACGAAAAATACTGTATATCTGTAGCTAGGATACAGTCTTATTCCTATGCTATCTTTACAGGTTCTTTTTTATTGTTACTACTGTAATACATTGTGGAGACAGTGAGGGTCACACTGGTGGGCTACCCACCTTGGCCTGGTGGGCATCAAACTTCCCTATGTGCAGTTCACCTGTAGGCTGGGGACCTCCAAGGGCAACTCCCCTGAGCCCTGTCTGCCACACCGCCAAGGGCACCGTCCAGGTGGGCCTCAAGTTTGGCCAGTGCCACTGCAAGTAACTACTGCACATTCAGAACTGGAGAGGTCCACATCACCCACCTCCAAGGACAAAGGTCTGCCTGTATCAAGCATTGCTGTTGCAGGAACCCCTGCCTGGCCCATCTGTGAGAGAAGCGCATGGTGTGCACCCCTTTCTATAGACTCAGTTAAGGACCAGCTGATACCAAGAGTGAAGGGATCTCCCTGGTGCCCTGTCTACCATTGTTTTGTTCAGGATTGTTGGCCCTTTAATTTGAGCACTGGCTAATACAAGTTTTCAGTTTGGCAGCAACTTAACCTGTCATGGTGAGGGACCAGGGGATCACTCACAAATGCACATAACATGCTTTTCATAAATAACAAACTCACAGGAGGACATCAAAAGATTGCAAAAAATGTCAGTTCACTGTGATCAATCAAGTCTTTCCATAAAGCAACATGTGATACAGGAGAAGTGAGATCTTCATTTTCATTTACGAAGTCTGTAAATGGGTACCAGGTTTTGTAAACCTATGTGCCTTCACCACTTCCTTGTGCAGCTAGCTTCTCCATAAGTGCTAAATGCCAGATTTTTGCATACTAATTTGAAATGGTAATATTCATCATGCCTTCCAATGGGCTGCAATAACCTGTCTGGGAAGCTAAGCAGAAAATTGAGATCAGCTCTTTATGTAATAAATTTGCATTTTCCCCTTGAAACAATGTCAGCAAATAGAGGGAGGGAGCAGCCTGATTGGATTTTTTTAATTTGCAATTTCCTCCATCTCTTAAAAGAATTTTCAAAAATTTTGAACCTTGGGACACATCCACCCCATGTGGTAATATGAGCCGTAACTCTGATAGACTCTCCGGCACTCAGGAGTAACTGTGCTATTAATCTTTTTAATGTGAAATTATGTTCCCCAAATTTGGTTCATTTGCCCTAAAATACTGATTTCTTCCACATTGTCTCCTAGATGTCATCATAAATGTTTGTTTTCAGATCACCTTCCTTTGCTATCTTTAAATAACAGTTGCCATTGATGTTCTCACTGTTGTCTTAATATCCCTGAAAGGTTTCAAGCTTCTTCTAGAGAAAACTAGTTGCTCCCAGCAGCAATACTGGTGAACATAGCAGAAGTGTGGTGATGGAAGAAACGACACAAGACAGTTTATTTTGATGGAGTGAAGAATGGCTACAGCATTATTGATTGCAATTGCTTCGCCCAGGCAAAACATTATGGGAGCAGAAGCAAGCAACAGACAACCTGTTTGTTGACTAATGCACTGCTGGATAACCGTGGGAAGGTAGGTAAATGGGATCCATGTGGGTAATTTTGTGGTTCCTGTGTCACATGGGGGCAAAGCTGGGACCCACAAGCCAAGCTGGGCACACTCTGTGGATTCCCCCAGAATCCCTTAAGGAAATCCCAAAAAAGCTGGAAAATATGGGCACATAGAATGTTTCCCCTAAATGGATCCATTCCAATGCTGAATCACTACCACTAAAGTTGTCACAAAGGACATTAATACTGAAAACTCATAGCAAGAAAAGCCTACAAGCTACCTAATGCCAAACCCCAAAGGCTGAGAGACAGAAGTAGAGAAGCTCTGAGGCCAACTGAATGCCTGGCTTGGAGGGGAAGCTGAAAAAAACATTCCCCAGGAAGACCCGACAGCCAGATTCCCCTGAAAAGCCCATATGGAGGCCCCTGCCCCTCAACTGAAACAGGCTTTGCTTGATTGGGTGATCAGAGAGGAACCACTGTTGGGTCCATGCAAAACTGAGTCTGTGGGTAAGTTTCAGACCTGTGGCTTTCAGAGTGGTCTCACCAGTACTCTTGACTGTACTTCTGAATGTCAACTGACAGAGTGCTATGTAGCAGCTTTGTATTAACAGGTCTGAGCATACTTCATGATACTCAAGATAACTTTATTAGAAGTATGTGCGTATAAGTGTGTGCGGGGGGGGGAGAGAAAGAGAGGGAAGGAGGGAGGATGAGATGCATATGCCCTGGATTCCTCCTTTCAATATCATGCTGAGGTTAAAATAAACTGCTGAGCAGTATTGATCCGGTTTATAAAGTCTGTAAATGGGTACATAGTTTTGTAAATCTATGTGCCACCATTGCTTCCTTGTAGAACCCAGACTTGTGCAGCCAGCTTCTACTAGAAAAACACAACTTTGCTCTACACTAAGATTTGGGACAGGTTTAAACTGAGTGGTCCAATTTAAAGTTAAATGAATAAAAGTTGCTATAATTCTGATAATTTCAAGGACATCTCTTTTATGTTCTAAAGTGATAACAGGGCTTGTTCACAGGCTACAGTTCAAAGGCAAAATTCATAACAATTCTATGCTGTACTAACACAACTCTGGGCCTAGACAATGCCCTGATAACAGAATGAAAAGAAATCACATGCCCCCAAAATAAAAATCCCACCACTGTTTCAGCATAGACATCGCATAACTGCAGTAGATGTGCCCCTCTCTAAAATTCTTGGGGTGAGCTTCCCCTTGCTTGACCCATGAGCCATCCCTTTCTTAAAGCCAATATTTTAATATAATAGTATGAATTGTACATTATCCTCAAAGGGATTTATTGAGTATGTTGGGCAACCATTTATTATTTTCTTTAAGAACTGGGAGAAGACCATTATATAAATGCAGTGGTATCCCTATGACTCCCTAAAGGACACATATATTAATTAATGGGCTAAGCAATTTTCAAGAAACTTTACATACAGATTTAGCAGATAGTAAAGATCCTAAGCAATAGTAAGCATTTTTTTCTGGACCTCACACAATCACTTCCTCACACACTTTCTCAATCAACTGTGCTCTGCCCAAGAGATTAACTACAATAAAAGAAGTCAACTTGCAGGGTTCAGGAGGGGGAACCTGCCTAAACACAGAATAAAGGAAATTGTCCATTCTCTTATATCAATATAGTGTACAGCGTATAATTTGTTTCATTTGCCTCCTTTCCTTCA